ACGATGGTTAAGGCTCTGGACATCCACATGGCCAATGGTGGTTTAAGCCCTGGACCCGGCAGGGGCTCACACTGGGCACGTGTACATATGAGAGAAGCAGGGATTGTGGTATGGCCATTCCCCAGGGGGTGATTTCTCATTTCCCCTCTCTCCATCTCTCTCTCTCTCTAGTTATCTCAGGTGCCATACGGAAAAGAAAAAAAGAAAGTGACCCTGCGTGAGCTAAATTTTCTCGTCAATAGCAACTTGTAGGGAGAGCAAGGGTAAATTTCATAGAGCCGTTTCCGGTAACATCTGTCAGTACAGGCCGCGGTGTCACGCCAAGTGCTGTTTGTAAAAGGAGTAATTTTCTGAACTAGGTCAGGCCCTACATGCCAAGATTTGTAGGTCTGACTCGATCTTAACCAACATTTTAGAAAGTCTGGAAAGTGGATTGTGTGTTCCTTAGTTATTCTGAAACGCCACTCCTTTCCTTAGATGAACTTCGCTAAGTGTGTGGTGGCTCTGATAGATGTGTTCTACCAGAGGGTGCACTCATTCACCAGGGAGACGGGGGGAATGGGAGAGGGAGAGGGAGAAGCACCTCCTAGTCATACCGCAATCCCTTATCCTCCATGTTTCCATCTGTTACCCAATGCAAATCAAGTTTGCTCACCCAAGCACTAAGCGTAGGCACACGGAGTGATGAAGGAGAGTGCAGCTTTATTGCAGTGCGAAAGCACGGAGAGCCGGTAGCTCATGCCGAAGGAGCCAGGTCTTCCTGGGGCGTTCCCCACGTATGTGCCACGTGCCCACAGCCTACAGTTTCCACCCAGCATGACGTCCTCAGTATTGAAGTTAAAACCCTGTCCTTCCTTCAGTGGGAGTTGTAGAGTCTCATGGCCTCATTCATGGCCACTGTGGCCTAACTATCGTAACCAGAGCCTGAGGTCTAGCCCTTCCTTTGGGCCATTACGATGGCAATGACCTTGCCTCCAAATCCCTTAGTAAGACATCTTACTTTTAGTTCAGCCCTTATTAATTTTTTTTTCTTTTTTGGAGAGGTTTTTGCTATAGGTCGCGTGTGCTCGCCAGACAGACAGAGAGAGTCAGAGAGACAGAAAGCAAGAAATCACCCACCAGGGGGGATGGCCATGCCACAGTCTGTTCTCCTTCATTCTCCTCTCGGGATCTTGGGCACACACGCACACGCACCCGGCGTGAGTTTTAAGCCACCAGGTCTGAGATTTGAACTGTAGTCGACTACATGGGAGTCCAGTGACATAGCCATTACGCTAACTGCTGGTCCCCAGCCCTTATTAATTTTTTAATAATAAGGGCTGAATTTTTTGCTGAATTTTCTTTTTTTCCTCAAAAGAAGGGCAAACTGAGGACCCATCTTTTTTTTTTCTTTTTCTCTTTTTTTTAGGTTTTTGCCTTAAGATATGTGCACTCAATGGGGAGAGACAGAAACAGAGACAGAGACAGTGAGAGGGAAAGTGAGAAATCACTCCCAGGGGAATGGCCACACCACAATACCTTCTCCATTTTCCTCCTGGGATCTTGGGCACGCACGCACACGCGCCTGGCGTGAGTTTTAAGCCACCGGGCCCGGGACACGAACCGCGGTCGACTACGTGGGAGTCCAGTGACATAGCCATTACGCTAACTGCTGGTTCCCCCAATCCCTTTTTAGGAGGCCCTGCTCTATTTCATATCCTGTTAGGATTGGGGACATACATGAACACGCATGCACCCAGTGTGTTCCTAAAGCCACTGGGGCCCTGACTTGAATTGTGGTTGGCCATGTGGAATCTGGCTTCCTTACCCACTAGGTAGTGGGCTGGCCTCCACTTTTATTTTTATTCCAGTGGATACCGACACTTATGCTTTAATAGAATGTAAAGTGTGAGGTTGGATTAACTTGGTTCCTTGAGGAGCCAAATAAGGATACTGGCCTCAAGCCTATAGAGGAGCTGAAGACGGACCCTAGCAAGTGGTTTGGAATCTCTGTTAATGTGTAGACACCTAGTAGTACAGAACTCCAAAGCTCTACCATATTCTATGTGATGGTCACAGTCAGTTTCAGCCTGGGTCATTTTTCATGCATAGAGAGCCAGATACTCATCTGGTGGAAGAACTCAGAGCTCTCAGAACTTTATCTAGCTTTGAGCAGTATGACTTCCTGGTTTATCTTTAAAGGTAAACTACTTGCCAAATATATCCTGAGAAAATTAAATGAAGGACTGTTACTTATGAAGCTGTTAAAAATGGAGGGAGAATCTATCAAAAGTGAAATATTGGATTACAGACTAGGTGATCTGTAACCCTGTTCTGACAAGAATTAGTTAACCAAGCACTCCTTATTAGTCATAACAAAACTGTAGTGCCCTGAAGTTGTTTTTAAAATAATAAACTATTTGTCTCATTCATAAGAGAGCTGTCTTCATTAGCGTGTACAAAATAGCATCATATTATTAATGAAAAATAAATGAAAAGACTAGAAAATATCTTCTTATGCCCACAGAAAACGTTCAGTCATTGAGGAACCAGCAGTTAGCGTAATGGCTATGTCACTGGACTCCCACGTAGTCGACCGCGGTTCATGTCCCGGACCCGGTGGCTTAAAACTCACGCCGGGCGCGTGTGCATGCGTGCCCAAGATCCCGAGAGGAGAATGGAGGAGAGGGGATTGCGGCGTGACCATCCCCCCTGGGGGGTGATTTCTCGCTTTCTGTCTCTATGTCTCCCTCTGTCTGGCGAGCGCACGCGCCCTACAGCGAAAATCTCTCAAAAAATAAAAAAAATAAATAAAGAAAGAAAAAAGAAAACGTTCCGTCATTCATCAAGAACCTTTCTACTTTCCTGACTCTTGTGGAAGTGGGGAAGTTCTGGGTAAACATCGCTGTGTTTATACATTACATTTTTTTTTCCGGTGTAAGATAGTAACTGAATAGTAAGGTTTGTGTTATCACAGGAGGAAAAGTGCTGTGATTTGGGCTGGCATTGTTGCCTAGTGGTTAAGGGCAGCTGGATCCCACATGGACCACCCCTTGAAAAATGTGGCAGGCGCATGTGCATGCGAACCCCAAGTCCCGACAGGTTGGAGAGGTGGAGGAGACGGGACTGTAGTGTGACCATGCCCCATTGGAGGGTGCTTTTTCCCTTCCCCTCTCCCTCTCTCTCTCTCTGAAGAGCTCACACACTCTCTGGCAATGGAAAAAAAATTAATTTAAAAAAATGCTGCGACTCTGTGATGTTCATTTCTTTTTCTATTAATAATCTGCCCAGAAGTCTGGTGTCTGAAGCTTACTAACAATTACCATGTGGCCACTAAGTGATTATAATTGATGGTAATGAGGTCAAAGGCAGAATATTAGTTGACTAGGGCATCCTTGAAATCAGGATATTCAGCTCTTGCCCTTGGTGCAATCAGTGATTTTATGATATTTGTCATATTTCTTGTGCATTCTCTATCTCAGCTTCCTCATCTGTTAAACTGAATTCGTAATAACTGCCCTGGTCTATCTTACAGGAATGTTGTGTGGACAAATTAGATAAGTGTAAGAGTGCCTGGGAGGAAAAGTGACTTATAAATAAAAATTAGTGTGATTTAGCTACTGAAGAGTATGTTGCAGAGGCTAGACTGCTCATCTTTGCAGGCTTCATGGCTAGATAAAGCCTCATAATGGATTCCTGTCAAACCAAGCCCGTCTTATCAGTTCACGACCATATCGTATCGAATGGGAAAAAAAATCTTTATAAATATTTGTTACCTTGATACAAATGTGCATTCAAAATCAGTTATGTTTGGAAAGGGGAGAAGAGGAAGTTGTTAAATAATACGTATAAAATTTCAGTTATTCTAGATGAACAAGTTCTAAATATCTACCATACCACATTGTGCCTGTAGTTAACAGTACTGCACACTTAAAAATATTTTTTTAAAGTTTTGTTTATTTTTTCCACGAGGCAGAAAGACCGCACCCCCTATAGTGTCTTGACAGTGTTATCCACCCCCAGCGCCATGCTGCCCAGGTTGTGGGCATGTGTGTGCCTGGAATACACAGGAACCTGGAACTTTCTCGTGCGGGTCAGCTTGCAGAGCATCACATTTCACCCCTCTACCACTGTCCAGCTTCTTAATAAAATTTAAAATTTTTAAAAATAAGTCATGTTTTAGGGCTAGCAGGTGGCATGGTAGTTAAGGTGCTAGACTCTCACATGGTTGATCACGCTTTTAGTCCTGGACCTAGCAGATTGAAAATCACCCCGGGCACATGTGCGCGTGTGCCCAAAATCCCAGGAGGAGAATAGAGGAGGGATTGTGGTATGGCCAATCTTGTCCCTCCCCAGGGATGATTTCTTACTTTCCCTCTCTGTCTCTCTCTAAAACCTAAAAAATAAAGTAAACATTTAAAAAATAAGTCGTTTGAATTAAATAAAACCTTTCAAAGTGGTTCCAAATATCCCATAATATGCACTTTAGTTTCTGTGGTCATTTTGGAGAGTGAAGGATTTGATGAGTTTAATAAAGTTGAAAATAAGTATATGAACAAAGTGCGGAAAAAAGAAATGAACTAGACTATTTCCTCTGCTAATAATTATTACTGTTTTTAAGACTGACATTACCAAATTGAGAATTTTCTTTTGTTTATTTTATGGAAATGTCAAACTCTCCTTTCCATTAAGATCAATATTATCTTTTCTGGTTGCTTCATTTTCTGTCATAGGCAATATCTTCATTTCAGTCCTAATGATGATGTAGACAGATCAACTCATAGTGGCTCAATAAAACATAGCTTGAAGGCAGAAAAGTCCTTTCTTGGAGAACTTTATTCAACCCTGTCCCCTTTTCTCTTCACGTAAATAGAGAGTTGCTACATAAGTTCACAGCACCATGCATTCAGGCCTAGAAATGGAAAAGTGACCACATGTCTGATTGCATAAAAGACATCCTAGCCAGGCCCGACTTGAGAAACTTTACTCTGGAGCCACTTTGATCTCTTTTCTTCTGACAGGGGACCATTTCTAGTGGCACTGGGGAAGTCCTGGCACCCAGAAGAATTTAACTGTGCCCACTGCAAAAATACAATGGCCTACATCGGATTCGTAGAGGAGAAGGGAGCCCTGTATTGTGAACTATGCTACGAGAAGTTCTTTGCTCCCGAGTGTGGTCGATGCCAAAGGAAGATCCTGGGAGTAAGTATTGGGAGCTTGTGTTCCTTAGTGAGTTTTCAAGCAAAGTACTTTCTCATTATGAAATTCTTCCATCAGTTTTACTTCTTATTTTCTTCTTATCAACCTTCTCTGCTTTCATCACTATTTATTATTGTAAAGCCAGCATAAACGGCCCTCTGTGGCAATATACCGGACTTCAACCTTCTCTGCTTTCATCACTATTTATTATCGTAAAGCCAGCGTAAACGGCCCTCTGTGGCAATATACCAGACTCGCGGGGGTTAGGCCGGCTTTGGTTTTGTCTTACTGAGCACTGGCTCTTCTGCTGAAAGTCCTCGCCTCTGTGGGGGAAACATAATTTACACTGGGTGTGCTACCTCAATAGAACCCTGTTTGCTTAGGAATGAAGAGGTCGCCCAGGACCACACACATCAGAGCTCTCAGAGCTGACACCTTCCCTGTTTTAAATTAAATTCCATAGCTTTTATAAGAGCAGCATTTCCCTACTTGTCAAGGTTCAAGCACAGGACACTGATCTCATGAAATATATAAAACATGAGACTTTTAGTTGCTATATTTTCCTTGAATATATAGAATGTTTAAAATATAACCTCAGTTTTATGAGTATACATGTGATGGAAAAATAATTTCAAACCACACTTTTTTTTTTTTTTTTTTTTTTGTGATAAGGGAATAATTTAGGAATCAGATATATAATAAGTAAAGATGAATTTCCTGCTCTGAAATATCTAGTTTGCAATGACAAAGTGAGTGTGAGACATTTATCATGGGTAACTAGGGTCTGGAATTTGATTTCAGAAAGACAAGGTGTGTGGCCTTATGCAGAAGTTAGACAGGGCCTTACTGAATTCTCATACTCTCAGCATGAAAATATAATAACGAAACTTTAATTTATATTCATTAAAAGAAAAGTTGGTGTGAATTATTGCATAGTCTTCATTTTAGGGTTTAAAATTTGGAGGATATTTAAAATCGTAACCATACCACCTGGAATCTTACGTGTTATTAATTTATACAGTATACTGGGAACAAAGAAATAGAATGGCTCAGACTGCACCTTACCAACTGATGAAAATAATTAGTAAAATATACATTAATACTGTTTTAGTGTATAACTAAATCCTGTGGATTCCAGAATAATTATGAAGACATAGTAAAGTAAGTCTCAGAAGGAAATGCGGCCCTAAGAAGTGGAACTCATACGCTCATTATATGAAATATGGCCACAATGTCCTTAAAGGGACAGAATCTCGGGATTGTGTTTTAACTGTTTGCCTGTTAAAGAAAGAATACTGGGACCAGCAGATGGTGTCATGGTTATGTCACTGGACTCCCACATGGCCAACTGTAGTTCAAGACCTGGACCTGGTGGCTGCAAACTTAAACCGGACACATGTGCATGTGTGTCCAATTGCCCAGGAGGAGAACAAAGAAGAAAGGGTTGTGGCGTGGTCAATACCCTTGGGGGTGATTTCTCACTTCCTGTCTCTCCAGCAAGATGCTTCCTCTTGCAAAAGTCTCTCAAAAAAAAAGAAGAAGAAGGAATACTAATCTGTCTCAAGAATGGGAAGGATATGACCAGCAGATGGCATAATAGTTACATCACTGGAGTCCCATATAGTTGACCGTGGTTGAGTCCCAGACCCGGTGGCTTCAAATTCATGTGGGGTACGAGTGTGTGCATGCCCAAAATCCTGAGAGGAGAATGGAGGAGAAGGGATTGCAGTGTGGCCATCCCTACTGGAGGGTGATTTCTTGCTTTCTGTCTCTCTCTGCCTCTCCAGTGAGCCACACGTCCTATAGCAAAAATCTCTCTCAAAAAAAAAGAATGAAAAGGGAAGTATGTGCCGGAAGCCTAAAAAATGATATTGTACAATATATACTTGTTATAAATGTTCATGGTTATCTTTTTGTATCTAAACATCTCATTTCTTCCCATTGTCCTACAACAGTAAATATGGTGTTTTCTTTTTAAAATTTTTCTTCTAATTGCCAAAGAGCACATGATATTTACTAGAGAGAGAGAAAAAGCACCCACCAGTAGGGTGCGATCATGCCCCAGTCCTTTTCCCTCCATCTCTCCAACTGTCAGTAATTTGGGCATGTACGCACATGGCCCCCCTTGTGTTTTTTAAGCCACGGAGGCTGTGATTCAGACCACAGTCAGCCACGTAGGATCTGACTCCCAATACACAGGGCTTAACTGCTGTGCAGTGAGCTCAGGCCTATGGCATTTTTGATAGCTAACAATTTATCTTGTTTTTTGAGTAAATAAATTTAGAAGAAAGTATTTCACATGGCTATAAATTTACTAATCACTAATAATTACTGCTTACCTTATGACATAGCTTCTACCACTTTGCTCTTTGTAAGTATTCATTCACAAAATTGTAGCCATACTTATGTTAATACCAATTATTTTGTGATAAATGTTATGAAAACGTAAACCTTTATTCATTAACTCAGAATTATTTTTCATTTCTTGAAAAGTGGTGTTTTTGTTTGTTTGTTTGTTTTTGTTTTTAAATAAGAGAGCACAGAGTGGGGAAGAAGAAGGAGCGAGAGAAAAAGAGAGAGACAGCAATCTTTGATAGTATCTTGCCATGTCACGGTCCCTTGCTGCAGTCTGTTAGCTCAGACCACAGGTGCATGCCCACATCTGGCCCACTCAGGCTGGTCTGAAATCCAGAACCCAGTCTCTCGTGTGGCTCCGGCCTTCTGCATAGCACCCAGTAGTACTTCATTATCACTGGACCCCAAATGATGTTCTTTTATTTGCTGGAGGGCATGTGCACTGCCATGACAGACAGAAGGAGACAGAGAAAGCACCCCTTTGGGGCATGGTCACCCTACGAACCCTTCACCTCCATCTCTCCATGCTGCCCAGATTTGTACACACACTCAGTGTGCCACCGGGGCTTGGATTCCAACCACAGACTTGGCCTTGCGAGACACAGCTGCCTCAGCCATTAAGCCATGGGGCCAGTCCCCAAAATGATTTTTAACGACTCCATCTCTTTTTCTCAATCCACAAAAATAATTCCTTGGAAAACCAACTCCCAAATCCTTTTTACTAACTAAAATCTGGCCAAAATCTTTAACATTTGTTCTGGTTAACCATAGGGCCAGTGTCGACTGGAATTCATGCTTCAAATTGTAGACACTCATTTGAGTGAATGC